ATGTTACACACTGGAGCTTTAACTTACAGCTACAAATGTAAACCTCATGGTGGCGCTCTCAAAAAGCCAAGGGGATCACCAAAATCAGTAAGCCTCGTCATCGGGGGACCATGGGTGCGTGCGCAAAATTCAAACCCAATTCATCCAACAATTGTTCAGTCGAGGCCAAACCAACAGAGCTACACTGCCACCCATTCAAAATGTCAAAATGGGAGAGTCAAGACTGAGTGAAAAAAAGTTTAATTTATTTGAATGACCCCGATGAGTTCATGTCTAATATTGTGTTTTTCTGTAAGTGAGTTTAATATAATCTCATCAATCACCTGAAATGTGATTGTAGTTGAACAGAGCGACGCAGACGGCAGTCGCCACTTCACGAATTTGCCAGCTCGCCCAACCAAAAAGAAAGCAGGTTCTGGAGGGCTCTGGCAACAGATCTAAACCTGTACCGTTGACCCACATGCCCTGCAAAGCATCTGCACACATAGAGCTACTTGCTAGTAAGTGTTCCCGTCAAGCAACGTTTCTGGTTACATTTTTGCTCTATTGTGGCATTTTCTTTTTTTTATCGTTTTACATGCTATTTGACATGATTGCTTTTGTCTTCGCAGCCCCTAAACAAGACCACCCCAAGTTTGAAGGAGAGCGCTCAGTGTGCTGGCTCGTCTCCAGATCAGCGAGAAACTACGTAGCCAACCAGAGACTTCTTGAGCTGTCCAGTCCCAAAGAGAGGAAGGCTCTGTTCGAGGGGTACGACCCGTACATAGTTAGCAGGGCGGCCCGCTCTGCTAGCCCCTCGCCTCGGATTCAACAGCTCTGCCTGCCCCTGCCTCGCAAATGCAGCTCAAACTAGTAGAAGTCTAGTCCCTGGAGATGTGTTGATTGTTCTCCTTTTCCTCATTGTGATACAGTTGTTTTCAGGAAAAATCAGGACTTTTTTTTGCTTTGTTGTATGAACATACAGCAACATCCAACCAGTGTATGATCTATTCATACTTCTTCTGCTCCAATCCACTAAAGAGCAAGCCTTCAGTTCCTCTGTGTACTTTCCAACAGCCTGTCAGGATACGCGGATGTTGATGGTGGCATAATTCAAAATCTGTTGAATGCCACCATGAATGCTTTACACACCTGTGTGTTTGTGTTATTCATTTTCAATAGTTGTGCTCATGTGTGCCTTTAGAACCAGACAACCTGCGTGATTGCAGGAAAGTCACAATGAAACAACACAAACGATCAGGGCGATATTGTTATCTGAAACTGAAATTGCTTTGAGACATCCTGCAGCACACATCCTGCAGCGCACATCCTTCACTTCTTAATTGTTTTCTTAGTTATTGTTAACATGAGACAGGCAGCCAGTGAGTCAACTCTGCAGTGATGTGTTGTGTTATGAATTGAAGGCACTTCATTTCAAAAGGCTGAACCGTATCTGTTCATGGTCTTTCACAGATTTTGTCTGTGTAAATAATAATCATCTTTATTGTCCACAAGTTCAGCCTTGATCGTCATTGTGAATTGAATCCCCATAAAAACAGTAATACCTCCCAGTTGTTTCTGCTCTTTCTCTTTTGTTTACTGGCTCTGTTTGTAATTCTGGTTTTCTTCTTAGACACCAGGTGCCCATACCATGTACAAAAGTTGAAACACTTTGAACAACAAATCAGTCTCTAAAATATTCTTGCTTATATCGTCTATGAATCTAGTTTCCTGTGTAGAAAACATCTACTATGCACATGCTGCAACAGTCAAATGTGTTTCCAGAGTATTTAAACTTAGGGGCAGATCCAAAGTGGTGGCATAAATTAACCCATTAATTTAGATGATAATTTTAGAGACCATGTTTAAAAAAGGCTTAAATTAACCCATATCATTTAAGGATCTGTTATGGCCACATTAAAAAAAAATGAGTTAGATGAAAAAAGACATAAAGAAAAAGTCAAACAATTTATTGATTTCAAAAGTCACTTTTAAATATTTCTGTTACTTTACTAACGTGCCACAATAATATAATGTTTTTTGAGTTTAAATATATTCATTTGGGGGCTTTTATGTGATTGTGATTATCTTAGCATACATTCCTGCCACCACGTAAAGGTATTTCCCAGGTATTCCACCCTAGATCAAGGAAAATAATGACTCACAACCACCAGCTCTTTAGTTTTACTTCCATTATTTAAAAAAAGGTCACTGCCTCAGTAAGCTCCCCAGTAGTGTGGAAAACTCCCCATGATCCTCCGGAGTACCCCGAACCTCAGATTTGAAAGCCGGGAGAGAAAGGGGGCCGAACAGCTGGGCGGAACAGATGTGTTTACTACGTGTGTCTGAGAGGCTGCTGAAGGCTGTTGCATAATCGCTGTAGTTGAACGAGGGCAGAGGCGCTCGTCGTCCGCGCTCAGACCGGTAAGTGGACGGGGGGATTTTAACCGCCAACCTTTCTCAATTAGCGCTCAGAAATCCAGCCTCAACCCTCTCGAGGGGGATGTTTGAAAAGTTTGACGGTGACTTTTAGCACTAGTTCCTGCTTTAAAGACGCGTAGCCTTTTTTTAGTAACTGAAAAAAACAGTATAATTTCCCAGTATAGACTCTTATTATGTAATATTGGCGACAAGACAAGTGTATCGATTAGTTGACCGACCGAAAACTCTGCTGAGTCAGTGTTTCACGCACATACGAAGTTCTAGTTCAGTGTGAAAGGTGTGCGGTTTTCCTCTGTTTATGATTTGAATGTTTGTGTTTTGTGACTGACTGGAATAAGAGGACTTTACATTGGAAGCAGGGAGCTTGTAAAAAGGCCGTTTTCACCTTTTTTCTGACACATTTTCAAAGACTACATGATTCATTGAGGGCGCTGAAGTTGGTTTTTCGTTCCGGCAACTTTAACTCAGTGCTGAGCGACATGTGCTCCGTTTGCTGCATCTTTGACTGTCCTTAAAGACGTTTAAGATAAAGCTTTAACGCTGATTTGGTGAAAATTGCAACAAAAAAAAGGTAAATTGGACTTTTGTTGTTGTTTTCATATTCCACATTGGACCAGGTCCAGATTGAAAACCACGATACAAAAACAAGACTTGTGAAATCTAGACTGGATTGCAAAGCGGGTTGTCCAAATGAAGGTTGGACAGGAGCATGGAGATTTTAGTAGTAGTTAAAGGGCTCCATAATATTATTAATATTATTCCAGATGTTTAATCTATAAAGATATGAGTTATTTTTCAAAGATAAAAATAACTTTACTTATAGTACTTTTGTTTGTTCCTAAGTGAGAAAGACCAGATGCATGGCAATCACAAATGAAATGGAGACAGGTGGACCAACGCAATAAAATAAAGGTTTCACAAATCTGAAACTATGTTTTAAAGAATATTTAGCCTGTCTGGGATCGTCTAATGTAGTGGTTTTCAGTCTGGATCTGGTCTAATGCCGTCCTGAAAAAAATCAGAGAAATATAAAAAGATTTGACTGCCAAATCAGAAACTAACTTCAGCCTTGTGATTAATTAATATTATCAATCAATATTTGCAGGAATAGATTTTGTTGAAAGTAGACTACATCACTGCTGACCACAGCAGCTCTGTAGGAGCAGTTTATTAGGTACAGCTTTACAGTCCAATGCACAATATTGGATCTTTGTCAATATCTGATATGTCGATATTTTCCAACTCATTTTGGTATGCTGATGCCGATACCACTATATGCACATATTTGTTTCCACTAAATTGCAGAGAACATCAAGTCTCTACTATCAATTAATGCATTATAATGCTCACTCTTTATTGTGATGACTCATTGGCTGAGGCAGATATAAAATACAGGGCAAAACTTTTTATTTACCCCACTGGTGCCTGTTAAGTTCAATCAAATCCATTGTAATAATCGGGATGACGGCTCTTATGATAGGCAATTAAATGTAGTGTTAAAGGAATACGATGTGACTCCTCCTGGCATGACTGACACTGAGCAAATGGCAACTCTGTCCTTCAGGCAAACAGAGGCACATAAGGCATCATCTTCAGTGGCGTGCACGGACTTTTTGAAGGGCAGGGGCGG